AACCACAGGATGGAATCTGCCGCAAGCCAGAATTATCCTTATATTCTTTATTTGCTCAGACCTGTGTGTTCTGTATGGCAGGAGATGCTGCAGTGACCAGTGGGCCATCACTGTGAGGTCACCAGAAACCCTACAGATGTACACTTGCATGAACAATAGCTCATGGGATTTGCAAGAGCTCGAAGTTCTGGAAATGAAGCAACATCTTAAATCCAATTGGTTTAGGCTCAGATGTATCTCCCAGTTAACTATTTTTGGGACATTTCCTTCCTGTTCCCCTACACACACAGGTTTTCTTTTAAGAAATCCCCTTCTCCTTGGGTCAACTTTAGTTTACAATGAGAACGAAACAGGAGTACAAAGCTGGAGACTGTGTGTAACTGGAAAGATCAAACTATGAGATTTGTTTTAAAAGTTATTTGATATATAATGAATTGCAAATTCAGTAGAGTGCCAGCTGGAAACAACTAAGCCCTTTTCCAGCAAGAGATGGGAAAGAACAATGACAAAAAGAGTCAACAAGGCAGATCTCCTGAAGAGAAGGCTTCTGACACAGCAGGGCAACATAAGCAAGTACGCTATATATAGAACTGGTCCTTGGGTGAATACACAGGTCTTACAAATGACCCCAAACAGAATCCCAGCTCAGATACACAGAGAAATACATAGGATGGCTGTGTGGTTTGAAGCCTGGGCCAGGAGCCAGGAATTTTCAGTTTCCCTTTTTCCCAGTTCAGTTTGTCTACTTATACCAATGGCCCCCAGCTTTTGTTGACACGCGGGCAATGATACTGAGGAGGTTATGCTCTGCAGGCGAACCATGCACAGCTCTTTTTGTCAGCTGCTGTGCCAGAGGCCCTGGGGATCCTTGTTTCAGACTGTGTGCTTTTCACAGCAGAGGCAATGTCTTGCTTTGGGCACATGCCCCTCAGTGTAATTTGCCTTCCTAAGTGTGCAGCCACTAAACATTGCTGCACTCCCCTGTAACGTCCTTTCCTGTCCTGTACTGAACATTAATGTACTCCCCAGTGAGGATGAGTATCAGAATTTAAAGTATTAATGTTTTAGATTGAAAAGGAGATGAGGATTTTTTAATACCTCACCTATAGGCATTTAGTTACGGATCTTTTTCTATATTTATGGTCTAAAATCTCCCCCTAAATTCTGATGTACCATTTTAATGTAAAAATATTAGATGCTTATATCGACACTGGAACATGGAGGGTGAAGAGAGAATATCTAAGTGATTTATTTAGGCAATGGGTGTTCTGATACTGACACAAGAGATCTGTTTACTTCTTTGATGGGAAGGGCTAAATTCTGTGTTTTAAAAGCCATGATGTTGCTAATGGAGAGGGATTTATAATATGCCCCTTGGCAATATGGTTGTTCCATAGAATAGAAAAGCTTTTGGATTCAGATCTGCAATTTATAAATTTATGATTCATTCTGGACAACAATCCTTAAAAATTATGATATTGATGAATTCTGAATATTAGGCCAAATGCTTAGCTTCTCAAGCAATATTTTCCCCCAGTCTTCCCCTAGGCTTCATTAAGAAAAAGTTAAGATGGTTCTCAGAATCTGTTACTTCTTAATAAACAATACACAGGAGTAGTAGATGTCAAAAGGACAGATTTTGTATCATATGATATACTTCAGCTGCAGGGATAATTGAATGTGAGAGCAGACATGCTTGCACTGGTTTATATATTTTTGTTCTCTAGAACCTGGACATCAAATTATTTGCCATGTCTCCTTGGGAGCTGAAAGAAGTTGTGTCCAATTTACAGCTTTAAAGATCACTTCAGATGTTTGTAATTTGATTTATTTCTTATTCTTTCCATACATCTAGAAAAAAGCCACGTTTGAACAAAATTTAGCCTCAGTTGCGTGACAGAAATATGTAACCCTGAAGAAAAAGAGTAGGCAAATACTACAGCCTACCTTTTCTTGGGAGCAGAGGAATGTATTAGTATCTTTTCAAAATTGTTTGATTCACTTTGCCAAAAAAATTGTAAAAATAAATAATTACATGGCATAATGACTTTGTAAGATTCTTTTCCCCTGCTTCCTCTCACTCTGGTAAAGCTGATTTCTACTCTATGAAAGGTCCTCTGTGCACACCCCTGCATGAGAGAGTGTTGCTGATGACACAGAGACTGCTTGCTTTGTTTTTTCTTCATAAAAGCATTACTTTGGACATTCTTCTCAGCTGCACAAAACTTGTAGGAAAATAATTATCTTTAAGATTTCCATTGAGTTCAGAAGTTTACTAGGTGAAACTCCAAAACAGGGTTGGGAAAGACAGATTCTGATGAAAAAAAACCCAACCCAACCAACCTCCTTTTACTTCATATTAAGAAAACATTATACCAGAGAGAATTTGTCTGAGGAAATTAAAATGAGCAAGGGTAGGTTAGAAGATTAACTACGGCACACAAACAACTTGGCCAATTTTTAAGTACAGCGAACAAGATGATGAAGGCTTCCAAGTCCAAGCTCCCTGCTGTATTCCTATAATTTCTGACTTGGACAGATGTACCGCTGGTATCAAGCCTGAAACCATCATTTCCGAAGAGGTTAACAATTCAGCTCTAAGTATTTCACCCAAAGACAAAATTCACAGTGAAGGTCTCATCCTGGTGCTGGAATTTCTTCATGATTTCAAAACAGAATTTTTTCAATTTATTTAAGTGCATATAAAGCCAATGAAACCTAAAGCTATATTTTCTTGCGTGACTTAAAGTTAGCTTCACGTTTTCATTCCAATTGAAACATTTCAAGCCACTGGAATGTATTGTAATCTGATTCTTTGGTGCATTTGGGACTAAAAATAGCTAAGATACTTCATTTTTTTTGAATAGTCTTCTATACTGTAGAGTTAATTTTTTCCTCCTAATAAAAAGCTAATTAAACTCTGCTGGATACACTTGGATTCATTTCATAATGCGGAACAGCATGTGAAGCACAACTCTGCCACAAAAACTTCAGTTCTTTCCATTCATTTTTTGATTGGTTTGCCTTAGCAAGGGAAATTTCATCATGTGAAGTGTGAAACAGAATGAATTCGGCACTCAGTCCTCCCCACCCTTCCCCATTCAGCCACATTGATTTCAAAGTGTCCCCATTCCACAAGCAAGCTCCTTTCAAGGAAGCCAAACCTTCTGCTTCGGCACAATCCCACTAGAAAACTGGGTGATAAAATCTAGAGCTGCTCTCTGATCTCATACACTTTGTTGTTGTAAGATATTCAAGACAGCTGTTCGATGCTCCCAAAAAACGCTTGGCAGAGAAGAAGACATTTTGTACCTCTGCCACCTCCCAGGCTGATTCTCTGCCACTGACTCACAGAAAGACTCCCCATTTAGGAAGATGCAGCCCAAAGTCCATTCAATTTATGGCTGCTCTCAAAAGATGTCATGAAGTATGCTTGATACATTTTGCAACCTGCATGCTCTACCTAAATGTAAATAGCAACGCAGCAACAAGTTTCATTGAATACACCAATCCAGCTCTCCACTAGCACACGTAAAAGAGCTTTCTTCAGTGTCAAATTCATCCCCTAACAGAGTGAAAACTGAGGGGCCCCAGTGCAGAGCTCAGAGAAAGAAAACACATGCCTTATTTGACACCTATCAACATTAGCATTACAACTGAAGTAGCCCCGTCACCAGTTATTACTTACAGTCTGAATTTCATTTTTTACTCTCAGATCTCAAAGCAATTTACAAAGTCTTTATAAGAGATCAAGACATTTTACAGAGGAAACTGATAAACACAGATAACGCAAACAACGTGAGCAAAATAGGCAGCTATATAGCGGGACAGTTCTGAGCAGCTGGTGAATCTCTGGAAGAGCAATATTATGTTCTAATAATTTTGAAACTAGAGGAAGGAATAAAGGAAAACAGAAGAAAGTTGTTCTGTTCTGAGTTTGTTTTGCATTTTTTTTCCCCTAAGTAAACCCATCACAGGCCAATGTGTGCTTTCAGTGTCAAAAAAAGAAAAAAGTATCATCTGGTTCTTCATCAGCTGTGGAGTACATACTCTACCAGTTACTGTCATTTCCTGACTCTTCAAAGGACTTAGCGCTCCCTTATTCACCCCATCCAAAACAGAACAATAGGCCTGTAGAGACCAAAATTATTTAACTACATAGTACATTTTCCTCAATAAAAACCAGCTGGTACTGCACAAAACAACAGCAGAGCTGTGGACTAGCATGCTACTTGCAGTCCCGTGCTCTCAGTAGTAAGAATCATATTGCTTTATTTAAGCAGAATGAAATTCAGCATAAGCCATGAGATGAGAAAAACAGATAACCAAGACACAGCCCCCTGCAACCTTTCAGATTTCTTTTGCTGAGTTTTAAATCCAGTGTGAACAGTTGCACAGATTTAATTAGAAAATGCTAGAGAGAAGCTGACTCAAACTATTCTATGATTCTATGATAAAGCTTTTCAAGGTGTCTTGGATAAAGGCCAGTCAAAAACTCTATTATGTATAAACACCATAAATGCAAGTTTCATCACTTTTACAGAGCCAGACTATGCATTTGATTTCGTTAAATCCTGTGATACAGACACCACTTTCTTTAATCCAGCCTTAAATATAAGCTACTAACAAGATCTGATTAGAGCCCATAAATCTTATGAACACTTCCTGGCAAGCTATCTGAGCAAATATGAAAATAAAGGCTTCTTCTCTCTCATCTATTTGTTCACATCCTCAAGTACAGTAGATGGATCAGTTGGCTAGGAGACCCTGAACTAAATGACAGCTTATGTGACCCAACCAACACTGGTTTTTTTCTTATATATTCCTTCTTCACAGAGGCATTTTCACATTTCGGCTTTAAAACAACTGTACTGGGGGGAAAAGAATGTTCCAAGTAGCTAAAGATTGGCAGAGAGAAGCATGGTGGGCTGGGAAAGGTTGTCTAAACCCTGAAGAGAAACACCAGTTTTTAATGGAAAACTAATGGAGGCCAAACAAACTCATCTGGGACATGGAGATGAAAAACACAGGACAACTTGAGAAACAGTGATGTCATCAAGGGGCCAGGTGAGATGTGCCAAGCATCTTTCTGAGGTCACAGGTGGTCATGAGATGAATAAATCCAAATGACACCTGAAGGTCACTTATCCATGTTTAATTAATAATAATTAATTCAAGGAGAGAATATTGCAAGAATATTTTGTATGTGTAGCCACTTGGCCACTAATTACAGATGAGGCTATTGCTTCCAAAACCAGCTAGCTACAGTGCTCTGCTGTGTCTAGCAAAGGAGAGAGCTTGTTCTGCAGATGTAACGGTTGCAGCTTGGTATCATTATGTCAACACTTAGGGCTCCTCTGAGCAGAAAGCCAGCCTTCTGGTCATGAGAGATACTCCAGTTCTCTTTACAGAAACTACAAGAAATCACCTCTCCTGTTGAGACCAGACTCTGACCTGGATGGCTGCATTCCACCATCTGTGGGTAGCCTTCCCTCTGGTCCATATTCATCCAAACCACCACAGTCTGGGACTCAGATTAAAGGTTTCAGTTTATCATCTCTGCTATGAGAGCTACATTTAGTTTGGTGTCACAAAACCTCACCAGTTCTGGCTTTGTTCTGCTAGGTCAGATATGGGATGGTGCATACCAGTGTTCCTTTATAACTAAACCTCAGTGGTTAGATGGGTAAGATGGTAAAATCCCAATTTTAGATAATTTCTGATTATAGAACACAGATGAAACTGGCAATGACCCTTTACCTTGAATTGTGCTGTTTTTGCTACTGAAGTGGTAGACCTTGTCAAAAATACCTTGATGATCCCACATTTTTGATACTCTCAAATAGGAGCTTTATAGTCTCGGCTTTTTACACCATTTTACACAGGCCTTCCAAACAGTACAGAGTATAATGATTGATTCCTTTGCTTGTATGAAAAATACTTCAGTGACGTACTCTTTGCAATTTGCTGCTATGTAGAAAATCCTGTTGCATTCTTATCTCTGAGTAGGATCACTCAGAAGAAACTCATCAACATTCAATCATCCATTAAAAATCAGATTTTATAATAGCAAAGGCAAGAGCCAAGGGTCAGAATACTTCTGAGGCAGAAGTTCAGGGTAGTCAGCAGAACTATGCCACAAAGCTCTCCCCTCTTTAGAAAAGTTACTTTATTCAGTAAGATGCTTCCCAGCATATCCAGTGGAAAAGTTGTTTTGATCATTTTCAACCAGTAGAGAAGTCATCTTTCTTGTGGCAGGCATTCAAGACTTTGGTCAGCCACAGTTCTGCAACCAAAATTATCCTATGGTTAGATGATATCAATACCAAGCTTTAAAAAAGAAAAGCAGAGACATGCTCTAGGAGCACAGCTTGCTTTCTCTATAAATATTCAGCTAAACACAGTGCAGTTATTTCTAATACACAGAAGACAGATTTCAACAAATATGTCTAGGAACTATCAGATTAGACCAAATGTTTTAAAAAATTGTTTTCTGGCAAAATTTTGTCTGTTGTTCCCTCTGGCTTTTAAAAAAATACCTCTACCTTCCCAGAGATAGTTTCTCTACCTCCTGACAGGTTCTTTCACAACACTGTTGACTTAGAGTACCACAGAAATGCCTATAAATACTCAGATGTGTTTAGCATGTATGGACAGGTTTTCATCTTTAGGGTTCAACATGCTCAGCAAAGGGAGGAAGAAACAGGTTTTCATCATCCATATGGGGAAGATTCTAATCACACAAAAGACTTCTATATCACGAAAACAGCTTTTACTGCATCTACCTCATATCTCCTCTGCTGAGCAGCACTGCTTATGACAGCAGTCCCATTTGTGTAGCAAGGCACTGTTTACCATGGGCAAGGGCACCACAGTCTAGCCAAGTGAAACTTGTCAAAGCCGACATAAGTCTGTAGCAAAGCCAAGAAGATAGATTCTGGCATCCATCTCTGGGTGGAGATTGGCAGCAAAAATGCCCAGAGTCTAAGAAACAAGAATGTGGTGAATATGCAATTGGCTGTTGAACTAAGACAGCAGTTAAATGGGATACTGAGTAGACTACAGTGAATATGAAAGGCAACTGTTTAAAAACTAAACTGAAATTATTTCCTCACATTTTTACTGCTTTTGCCTCTCTGCAGAGCCAGGTTTAATGAGTCTTTGCACCTAGTTAGATTCCTGTTGATGAGTCTTTGCACCTAGTTAGATTCCTGTTGAAGGAGTCAGGAACATAGATAAAGGCCTTTTTTAGTACAACTTCTTTACTTACAGAGGTCCTGTTTAAATGGGAAAGGAATAGTGAAAACTACCAGTATGTTTCTTCTAATAGAAATATCTTCTTAATGCCTCAGTTATTCACCCCAAGTGCACAGCTGTCTTTTGGTTTCCATCTCTGTTTAACATGTCTGTTTATTATATCATTTCCTTAGCTGCAGCAGCACCAGATTTTTCCCAGTACTGGGAAACTGTATAGGATAAAGTCCTTATCTTTAAGTCCAACCATTCTTTAGTGATTGACCTGGCTGAATTACAGCTAAGCTGGTACCAAAAAAAATACTTGGGTTATGATACAGAATTGTTCAGCCAGTGTACTTTGACAAGAAGCACGCAGTCTCTATACATCCCATTGGTTCTACTTCACATTCTTTCAGGCTTTCTTTTTCTCCTACCAATGGCAGCAACTATTACCATTTTAACTTCCCAAACTTGATATTCTTATCCATACTCCAGGAAGACACTGTCCTCCAAAGTCATCCAAAGTGAAAAAAGATAACTGCAAGAAGTATTTTTTAACTTCCATAGAATGCAAAGCATTGAGCTGCCCTAACATTGCTTTAGCTCAACAATTTGCTTATCACCAACAGGGCCCAATATTTTTTCATGGAGTATTTGGAATGCAGTTATCAAGCTCAGTCACTGCAAGATAAAGAGGGACTCTAAACAATAAGCTGTGGTGATGGAATGATTTGTTTTATTCCAATACTCTGCTAAAACAAAGTTCATTGGATAGTCTAGTTCTCAGACAGCCTGGTGCTTGCTTCCCAGTCAAAAGTCTTCAGTTGCAGATTTTTATAAGAGGAGCCTTCTTCAGATAAAGCACAATGTCCCTAATGTTTGAGAGCCACTAGCTCTGGTTAGAAGCTAGAATACAAGGCAACCACACTGTGAACTAACGCTTTAGCAACACAGAACAGAGGAGTTAGCTCAGCTCAGGCTGCAGAGCAGGCATGTGCCAAATGAGCCTGCTGGAATTAAAGTATGTCAGTTCACTATACAGACATGGGTAGGATTCAAGGCAGACCAAAGTAACGCTGAAGTGAAGGTGCCACACTAGCAACTGCTCTTTTTCTTCATTTGTAAAATCGATAGGACTAACACGCCAGTATCACCACGTCAGTGGGGTTTACCAGAATTAAAGCATTGATGTCTGTAAGGGCTCATCTGCTGCAGAAATTATGTCTGTTCTATGGCGAAATAATAGCACACAGTTAACTGCCCTGTACACTGACTAGCCAGCCAGTGCCAGATGCTGGAGAGGACAAGAGATTGGTGCTAGACAAGGAGGGGTTTTGTTTTCTTGTATAGTAATTTTTTCAGACCAATCACTTTCTGAGTCATGTCAGGCAAAGTTTAACCCAGTGATACATAGGGAGTTGAAAAGCTGTGGCCTTTGTCTCCATTTGTCTCAGGTTTGGCAGATTAATTTCACTAACCAACAGTACATATATTCATTGGCGTTGTCTGCTATTGACCATGGCAGTCAACCTGATTTCTTTATGCTCCTATTTTGGAAACTTTCAAACAGGGATGAGGAAAGGAAGTTGACTCTCAATAAGCATGTTAAAAATCATTCCCTCCACACCCCAAATAAACAGCACGAAAATTATAGTTTGCCTAAGTCCTCAAAGAGCTTTGATTTTGCTCCGATGTTATATGAAGGAACTTCGTCATAACAGAAGTAGAATTAGTTTACATTCTTTCCTTTTCTTTTTTTTTTCCTAAGCCACTGAAAATATTAACACTGGCTCTGCCTGAGTAGCATTTAATGCCAGTATTTCATCGTTTGAGCCAAGTGCAATGCTTACTTTAAAAACAGGCTACAGTCTAAAACATGGCTTAGTGAAAGTGATATTGGGGTACTTTATGTTCACTCTTGTTTACCCCTCACAGAAAAGATAACGGTAGAGGCAATTCATTCTTATTTTTTTAGCTGCTAGTGTTCTGGTATTAAAAATCCTGAAAATTCTAACAGAAGTCAACTAGAGAGATCAGCTAACAGCCTGATGAAGGCAACAAACAGGTACTAACTCATCTTCTTGTAGCAGGAGTGGCGGGATGTCACTCAGAGAAAAAAACTTCTCAGTAGCATAATTTTCTTCTCATCATATCAAAATCTGCAAACACACAAACCAAAAAATCAAATTCTCTCAGTGCTACCATCCCCAGTCATCTGATGTTTAAAAGGGTACCTTTCCATCAGCTTCAGAAGTGCTGCCTTCACTTTTACCTGTAATCTTTCTTTTCCTGACATAGGAAGTCAAGACAAGCAGCCATCATTCTGTGTGCTGTTTGTTTTGGTATGCAAAGTACCTTGATAGCCATGTTAGGATTTTATCTGACTCCACAGTTTTGCAGAGAAAAAGAGAATACGCAAGGCTTCAGATGACAGGACTGACCACTCACCGCCAAACTAAGGAGCAATTAAAAGATACGAGGCCTTTTCTCCTTTTACCACCACTACACTCCTCCCCTGCAGAAAGCACGCGAGACACAAACAGCCTCAGTGTAAGTGGGTTCAGGTAGAGGCTTTTTATGTCATTAGTTGATGAGATGAGGGCTACTTGCAAGTATTTGCAGATAGGCTGATCACCCTCAAAGATCATGGTAAAGAAGCAAAGAAAAAGGAAGTTAATCTAGAATGAAAATATTCGGTAGGGATGCTTCCTGAAATAACCTATTTACCTAAAAGAGCACTGATCGATATTTTTAAGCTAGCAGCAGCTAATTAAACAATTAAAGGCTGCAGATCTTGCCCTGAATATAGGGTCAGGTGCTGAAAGACTCTTTTGTAACTGAGGTAAACTCCTGTGGCTTAGACAGCAAGCAAACTACATGCATGATCACAAGCCCTCAAAAACCAGTCCCACGT